GTCAGAAATATGTTGGGCAGACTAGAAGATCAATATTAACTAGATTTAAAGAACAATTAGCTCAGATAAGATATGGTAGACCGGATAAATCTTGCGTTGCCGAACATATTGTTGATAAAGAACATTGTATAGATCTTAATAATTTAAAATTAATTAAACAAGTCTCAAATTACAGGCAATTAGATGCATATGATAGCATCAGAATTAATAAATGTAAAGATAGTATGAACAGAGACAACGGTCCAATTCCTTCAAGTTCTTTGTTCCTACTACTCTAGTGGCGGAAATCTAACTGTTACGCTCAGTTGGCTCTGACTCGGTTAGCTAGATTTTGCCACGCCCACTCGGTGCCCACTGGGCGAGTATATAAACGCTCAACTTATAGATTGTACTTTAGTTTATAATCATCTGCTGATGATGCTAACATGGTTAGCGAAACGCGCGTCCAGTGTAAAAGTAAAAGTGTTTTGGTGTATTGTGGTGATTTAGTGTTTTTATTTTACTTCTTCTCCATTGCATTCTATTGTGCGTTGCTTCTTCCCTCTGATTCTGCATATCTTTGTACTTTTTGAGTTTTCTACCCGGTTTCCTCTTACCGTCTACAAGCTCACCGTATAGAAGAATTCTTGCATCCTGCATACGTTACCAGCCCATCTTAAGCGGGGATTTAGTTATCATGACTTCAACGTTCTCGCAGCTGGCTTTTTCAATGACCGATACTTTTGAGACATGGTGGAACCATTTGATTTTTAAGAGTTGTCTAAGATGTCTCTGCTGCAACTTGTTTACTGTGTTCATGTGTCGGCGGTACGGCATCCAGGTTTCGCTTCCATATAACATGGTAGGGATTATTATTGCTCGGTACACTGCAAGTTTCGTTTTTGTGCTCAAGTCATAATTGTAGAAAACCCTGTCTTTTAATTTTCAGAATGCTCTTGAGGACTGCTAATCCTGTGCTGAATTTCAGAGTCGCTATTGGCCTTTTCCGAAATCAAACTGCCGAGATAATTGAATTCCGCGACATATTCCAATAGTTCTTCTCCGATTTTTATAGCATTGTTGTGATCTAGCTATAATGCTCGTATTGATACTACAAAAAATCCAGCAGAAAATCTAAAAGGAGGCCAATGAGTAGTAGAAGGAGCCATGCTTGGAATCACTAGAGGACACATAATATAGTCTGTCCAACAACAACATCCTTGACAGTGATAGGTGTGTCATTTTATTTTCAAAATAGTTTATTTTATTTTACAAAGAAATAATTTGGTACAACTGGAACGCATAGCAGGAAATTAATATATTTAAAATTTGACTGATAAGTGATACTTGTGAAAAAAATTGTACAAAACTGAAAAAATGTAATCGAGTTATTTTATTTAAAAAAAAACGATATGTGTTAATACAAAACAAACAAGAACAAAACACCACATACCAAAACAATATAGAAAATAACTATTTCTTAGTTTCAAGCTTCAAGAAACTGCATTTATTATTATATTTATCAATATAACTTATGTACAAATACAAATTTGTAATATTCCACAGGAATAAATGAAACAACATAAATAAAACAAAGTATTTTATTAATAATAACTTACCAAATTTTATACCTTAAAGGTAGATTAATTAAGTTTAATCTTAATTTTTTTAAACCAGTACCTTTTGACATTATTTTTCTGCAGTACTAAAATCCATTATTTACCTATCGTGTGATGTCGATATTTTACAGCTGCTCCAGTAGTATATGTTTAGTACGATCCTTGTAGCATATACGAGATGCACTTATCTACGACGAGATGGTATAAACACTTTATTGATGGTAACTTGGTTGGTGTATAAGACTTTCTGCCTGGACAGCTACTATTAACTATAAACTGTGCTCTGGGTCTACAGTCAATTTTTCCTCGATATTTCCTCCACTTGACTTCAAAAGGCACAAAACACACGTAATAACACGAATCAAAATGCATCATCTTCCAAAACGCAGATATTTGACATAAGTTGACACAAAATTATAACCGGTAATTTGGCAAGACTTTGACAAGCCTCAAAAATCTAAAGGCGAGTTCATACGCATCGGCGTCCGTTTGTCGTTCATCGTTTCGTTAAACCAATAAAATTGAAATATGATCTGTCATTTTTGAAATAAACCAATAAAATTTGTTAAAAAAAACAAGAGACGACGCATGACGGATTTATACTTAAACCCATCCATAGTTAACTTAAAAAATATTAGAAACTTTTTTTAGTAAAATAAATGGATTGGAATAGGACGTTATCTGCTTTTCTTCTGTCATCGTCAATAAACAAAACAGAGTATACCAAATAATACCATTATAATATACAAAAAACTATGGTCAAAGGCATAGTGGAAAACATAAATGGAATGAAATGGGGATGGGTAGGTCATATAGCGAGAGCATCAAACGCCAGGTGGACTAAAAGAATAATGGAATAGCGACCACGAGAAGACAAACGTAATAGAGGTAGACCACCGATGCACTGAAATCAATCAATTAAGCAAGTCAATCTGATGAACGCATTTTTTTGACATTTCTTTTTTCTCTTGTAAACCTAGTAAGTTTTTTTAATACTTTCAAACCCCTCTAGGTTAACTTGTTTCTCTGATGGCCATACACACGCGATATTTCTAGCGGCACATAAAGTCACATATATGCCTTCGTCGGACTCTCTCTCTATATGAAATGGCGAAGGGTGCCATAAAGTCGTCTGAGAATTCTAACATTGTCTCTTATCTCGTGACGGGGCGAATATCCAGCCGTAACGAGGGCCATCGTTCTCGTTCTGAAACTGAATATGGACCGAGTCTAGATATGAGTAAATTTCGCGGAGCAACGAGGACGTGCGGAGTTGCAGTAAAAGTTTTGATAGTTTTATTGTATTTTTATTGAGGAAGTTCTAGGAAAATTATTTTTCAAATAGCTTCTGCTTGAGTTGTGGTTTGGATATTAAAGTATTATGTATGTTATAATAAAAGACGGAAATCAGTGAATATTAAGAATTCCTAGAAAAAACCTCACATTTACTATCCACTGATTTCCTACGAACACTACGCCAATAAAAGTTCAAGAATTAATTTTGAAACAAACTTTTACCAGTGAATATTGGCATTCATGATTCATTAATCTGAATCGAATTTCTCGTGTCAAAAAATTCATAGACAAATTTTCATCCAAATATCAACATTAGTTCAGAAATTATTTAGGAAAAATCTAAATAAAAATTAAATTTCTACACCCTGTATCTCCGAAACGAAGCATTTTAGGACATACATTTGAACGAAATGTTTCACTTCTTTTTATCTGCAGATTTTTTTTTACTTTTGAAGCACCCTGTATTATCTAAAATAATTTTAAAATGTGTATCACAACCTTCCCTATAACTTTGTACAAGCCTGTACAATCTTTTTCTCAAAAAGAGTCATTAAATTTGAGTGTTCTTAAAATTAATTATGAGAAATACAGGCTGGCCCGAATTGTATTCGGGAAACTTCAGCAGCATATTCTGGTGATAAAAATAAGTAAGAAAGTTTGAGGTATAAGGCAAAAGGATAAGAGACTAAATCCAGACATAGAAGAGGGATAAACACAATTGACGTGTTTCGGGTATAGCTGCTTAGGTCTATCCCAATCTCAATCATATTCATTGCATGTACCCGCAACTTATTATATAATAAGTAATATAATACTTGGTAATATTTGAGGGGTAGTTTCATCTCGCTGGAATTTGACTTTCGAAAAATCCGTTTGCCAAAAATAAGCTTTTTAGGTCAAGCAGTTTAAGCAAAATCGTGGTTAATCAATTACCCAACTTTTTGGAACACCCTGTATGATTGTTTAAAAAATTTCAAAATATGTAAAAAACAAAATAAATTATACGTGTCCTAGCGTTTTCCCGAAAGACTAACCGTTTTTTAAATAACAAATATTGTAATATTTGAGAGGCGTTTTCACTCTCTTGGAATTTGAGATTCGAGAAACCCCTCCTTATCGAACCTTTACACCCCACACAGTTTAAGCAGAATCGTGATTACTCAAAAGTCATATTTTATGAAACACCCTGTATAATTTTTTTAAAAATCTTAAAATATGTAAAACAACAAAAGAAATATACGTGTTTAAGAATTTTTCCAAAAAACTCTCCGGTTTTTAAATAAAAAATATTCTAATATTTGAGGGGTGGTTTCACCCCCTTAAAATTCCAGTTTCAAAAAATCCTTTCTTATTGAGCCTCTACACCCTAAAGTCAATCCGTTTGCCAAAAATCAGCTTTTTACGTCAAGCGCTTTAAGCAGAATCGTGATTAATCAATGACCAGATTTTTCGAAACACCCTGTATACATTTTTAAAAATCTTAAAATATGTAAAAAACAAAATAAAATTTAACGATCAAAAGAACTTACCTGAAGTTCGATCGAAATTATATGAGGCATCCAGTCCAAAGATGTTAATTATTTCACCATGTAGTCCGCCAATTCGTACTACGCGCCACAATATTTTAAAGACAATTTTCCTCCTCACCTTTTGGTATCTCTGGATGTCGTCCGCTCAGTCCTATATGGTCATTAAGTTTAAATACAGTTATTTTCAATTTATATCCGCTTGGGAGGGTAGGGTGGGACTTAACATCTTTGGACTGGATGCCTCATATAATTTCGATCGAACTTCAGGTAAGTTCTTTTGATCGTTAAATTATATTTCGGCATCCAGTCCAAAGATGTTAATTATTTCACCATGTAGATGTTTAAAGTTTCCTAGGAATATGAATTGAAAATTAAATACCCTTTTTCAACATATTTATTTATGAATTAGTCAAACAAAAATACAATTTATTCGTCAGCTTGACGACATTATTAATGATTCACGAACAAAATATGTGTATTAGAATATTAAAAATATAAGGATATAACATAACATTATAAAATGAAAAAAGAAATTTAAAAAGAATATATATATAAATGTATATATATAATCGTCAAAATTGCCTCCCTATATTATACTTATCTTAATAACCATTTTATGATTTCAAAATGCTTAAGGCAAACTTATCGTGATTTACAAGGGGACGGTTGTAGAATCTAGCAAAAGTTGACGAGTTTTTACTCCAACCTGCAGAATCCTTAATTAAATCAATTGAGACACCCGCTCTCCTAGCAGCGGAAGTAGAAGCATGACGACTTGAGTGAGGTTTAAAAATATTCGTATCAACCCCAGACAAATTTAGGGTACTTTTAACCCACCGACTTAACGTTTGTTTAGAGGCGATACGGTGTGGTTTCTGGAAGGTTATAAAGAGATAGTCGTCATTATCCTTCCTTACTTTTTCAGTCTCCTGGATATATTTCTGTAAACAAGAAACCACGCACAATTCGGGAAATTCATTAAATTTTGGAATAATTAAGCAAGGTTGATTAATATTTATGTTGGATGTCTTAATCCGATCTTCAATTAAAATTTGAACACCACCGTCATCATACGGTAGTATATTTTTTAGTTTAATGAGAGATATCGTTTGTAACCTTTGGCCGGTAACCAGGATCAAAAGGGTTACTAACTTAAATGATAAGCTTCTTAAGGAATCTGCAGGGTTGTTTTTGAAATAGTCCAGAACTCTTTTAGGATCCCAGGTACAAGTGTACCTAGGTTTTGGTGGCCTTAGTCTTAAAACACCTTTCATAAATCGTTTTAATATCAAATCATTCCCTAAGTCTCCCGGAAGTATTAATGATAAAGCAGCTCTATGGGAATTAATTGAGCCATAAACGCATCCTTTATTATCTAAGATTGATTGGAGAAAAGTTAATACTTCCGGAACCTTAGCTTGAAAAGGGTGAATCTTTATACGATTACAAAACTCCCACCAAAGCTTATAGGTCACTCCATACTGTCTAATGGTAGCATTAGAAATTGAGTGTAAGGTGGTCTCGATAGCACATTCTGGAATGTTTCGAAACTTCATAGATTTCCGGATAGTCTCGATGCTACCAATGTAAGGTTCGCCCACAGTGGGTGGCACTCCTGGCTAAAGGGACAAAGCAGTAAATTAGGATCAGGTGTAAACCGGATAGGCTTCTCTAAGGAGAGCTTCATGAAAAGTGGAAACCATGCTTGAGATGGCCAATATGGTACTACCAAAATACCTTCCGCTTTATCCTTGATTATCTTTTGGAGAACCCTCAAAATTATGGCAAAGGGTGGAAACGAATAAAAGTAAATATTTGACCAGCAAATGGTAAACGCATCACATGAAAGAGCCTCTGGATCTCTCAACCAAGATACAATTTAGGGCATTTGTAATTGTTTCGGGATGCAAAGAGGTCCACCTCAGGGTTACCGAATTTTTTTTTATTTTAGCAAATGCGTAATTTGCCAAAGACCACTCGGTTTCTGGTTTTAAAATTCGTGATTCAGAATCGGCTTCCCAGTTGTCCTTCGTATTTACATAAGAAGCGAAGATCCATATATTCCGTTGCTCGCACCATTGCCACAATATTCTGGCCATGGTATTTAAATGCTTATACTGAACACTACCCATGCGGTTTACACATGCTATTGCGGTTGTGTTATCGCATCTTATTAGTATATTGCAATTTTTTAGATTTTTAGCGAAGCATTTTAACCCTAGAAATATTGCTTGCAATTCTAAAAAATTTATGTGATATCGTTTGTCTTCTAAAGTCCACCAACCATGTGTTTTTTCTCCGTTGCAACAGGCGCCCCAGCCCGAAAGGGAAGAGTCGGTAAAAATTTCCAACTCGAATGAATCCTGTTTGATATCGTTACAGGCCGTTTTAATATTGTCCCGCCACCAAGAAAGATCGAAATTTAGTGATATCGTCATTTTCGCATTGAAATTCATGTTATTTTTACGAAGAGCGGTTAACTTTTCCCTTTCTAAGGCTTTAGTATATAGGAATCCGTATTTGATAGCAGGGCATGCAGAAATCAATAAACCTAAAAACTGAGCAAATTCTCGTATTTTCAGTACTTTTTTATTTTGAATAAGCAGAATGCACTGATGGATTTTTGTTCTTTTATCATATGGAAGCTCAATTTTTAATGTGTCTGTATGAAAAATAAATCCGAGGAATTTGCAAGTTGTCGATGGATTTATAGAACTTTTCTCCCAGTTAATCACAAACCCTAGAGATTTTAAGATATTTATGGTAAATAAAATTTTTTGTTTACAATCTCCCAATGATTCCCCGAAAATCAGAAAATCATCGAGATAATTTACACAAATGACTCCTTTAGATCTCAATTCTTGTAAAACTGGTTTAAGAATTTTTGTAAATGCATGCGGGGCAGACGATAGCCCAAATGGAAGACATGTAAACTCGTAAATTTGGTTATTAAAGGAAAACCTTAAAAATTTCCGATGTTCAGATGTGACTGGTAATAAGAAATATGCGTCCTTTAAATCAAGGGTTGCAAGAAACCAATCTTTTTGAATCATTCTCAGAACTGTACGCGTGTCTTCCAGCTTAAAGTGTGGAGCATCTACGTAAACATTGAAATTTTTTAGGTTAAGAATGAACCGTTTCTTCCCGTTGGCTTTTTCGGCCAAAAAGAAGGTAGAGAGAAATTGATCAGGAAGGTGGTCACATTTTACAATCGCCCCTTGTGTAAGCATTTTCGATATTTCTATAGAGGCTAATTGCTGTTCCACAGAGGACAAGGGTACTAACCTTGGAGGTGCCAGTTGAACAGGCTTTTTATTTAAAGGTATATGGTAGCCTTTAATCCATTTTAGGATTAAGGTATTTGACGTTATAGTAGTCCACTTTTCATAAAACCGAGAAAGCCTACCAGCAGATATATATTTACACTTACCTTATCTACTTCCTTCTCCTGTATCTTTCCTTGTAAGGTTGTTGTCGTGTTTCCTTTGAGGTTTGCCCTTTTGATCCGTTTCCCTCGGAGGACGGGTCGGGCGAAACCGGTTTAAATTACCGTAGATTTGATGTCCTTTCATTTGTCGCCCCCTCCTTTTTTGAATTGCCTTGTTAAAGCCATGTATAGATGGGACCGCTTTTAGGTCCTTACTTGCGGCTTGTATAGATTTTGCTGTTTTAACCTTTTCGCTCAGATCGGAGCCAAACAACAAATTTGATGGTGGGCATTTCTCCAGTATTTCTTTTGTTTCCTTATTCATGTAAGGAAATATGAAGCTGCGACGTGCCATCGATAAATCATGGTACAGGTCCGCTAAAAGGCGTCCTGCATCTGACATACACGGAAGCAGAACGTCTTTCTGTGTACTAGGTAGATTTTCCTTATCAGATAAAATATAATCAATGCCTTTACCTAGAGCAGCTATTCCTGTGCCTAATTTTGTTTGAAATCTGATATATGCGTCGTCCTTCTTCCGCATATTAAGGGGGATAATAGATTTAGATTCTGGGTTAATTGCCGGAGGTGTTAGTAAGGGACAATTAGACGGTATTTTGTATTTTTGTATTAATTTGGTACATTCGTTTTCGGTTAAACCATTGGTAATAAAGTGAGTCCAACGGCTCGCCAATGCCGAATGTATTGTCCCGCCGTCGCCTTGTTCAACACCTGGATCTTCCCCAAGAATATTTAGGACATCCTCTGGCAGTTGAACGTCATTATGAATGACTACTGCGTCGTGCAAAGACGCGTCTTCGTCCTCTATTAGTGAAGCCATGCCGCTCGGGCTATGGGCAAAACTATCATTTGGAGCGTTTGCCGAGTCGCACGGATCTCGGGCTGCACTTCGTGGAACGCTCGGCGATCGCTGTCGTCGTGGTGACGTGCGAGAGAAAGAGCGCCTTATGGACGGAGATCGTAGATTGGAGGGGGATCGCTGTCGGGTCCGCGAGCGTGACCGCCTCTCCCTCTCTGACTGCCTTATCGGTAGCGCACGCGCGCTAGAAGGTGATCGCCGTTGACGACGAAGCGGCGAGGCTGACCTCGAACGGGCCTTCCTATTACGCTTGTAATATTTTTCAAGCTTTTTTAGACGTTTTAATAGCTCTTTATTGGGTATACTAGTGTCTCCAGAAGAGTAAGATTCTCGACTGGAAGAGCTACGTCTACGTTTCTTTGATTTACCCATGCTAAAAGCGATTAATATTACGTAAATATGTTATACTTACGTGAACGTCTCGAGCAAGGTATCGGAGGTTACACGCACTCGCGTAGCACAAAAAGGCGAATGACCATATAGGACTGAGCGGACGACATCCAGAGATACCAAAAGGTGAGGAGGAAAATTGTCTTTAAAATATTGTGGCGCGTAGTACGAATTGGCGGACTACATGGTGAAATAATTAACATCTTTGGACTGGATGCCGAAATATAATATACGTGTTTAAGCGTTCTTTCGGAAACTTGACCGTTTTTTAAATAAAAATTATTGTAATATTTGAGGGATGGTTTCACCCCCTTGGAACTGGAATTTCGAAAAATCCCTTCTTATCGAACCTCTACACCCTAGAATCAACCTGTATGCCAAAATTGAGTTTCTTAGGTTGAGTGGTTTGAGCAGGATCGTGATTAATCAGCGAGTCAGTCACTTAAGAATTTTATTTATTGGTATAGATAATAACATAAAAGAAGAGAATAATAATTACGATTCTTTAAATATCTGAACAAACCACACAAAACTGATAAAAATAAATAGTTAGCTCTACTACGCCTCCACCTCACAAGATTAATCTCCTCAAATCTTCGTCCGATAAATAAACTCCAAACACCTTCGCTGCGTACGTGTATTTACTGCGGGAAAATATTTTCCGAACCGCTTCGAGTTTCCCGACTTTTCCGTCCAATCTGCTCGGCATAAAAGGCATAATCATTTGGCACTTTGACCGCCGAGCCGAGCCGGCTCTAACGTGGCTCTAATAGTGCCTGGTGAGCATAGAGCCTAGAGCCGGTCGCTGCCAAACGGGAGGAAAATATCATATTTCATCGTCGGAAATCGATTAAGAAAAGTTTAGTTCAAGCGGTGAGTTTTAAGAGTTCGGCTCAACAAAGTTGCTTTTAAATATTCTATAATTTTATTTTTCTATAGCTTTCTAAAATAGTTAATATAGAGGCCAATTTGACGAGCTTCTGGGAAACAAGGAATAATAATAATTAAGAAGAGCAATATTTATTTTTTCTTAAATGTGATAATATACAGAATATGTTTAAATTGATTTGAGGATATACAGGGTAATCCATCAGCGTTCCGAAAAAACTATTCTACAGGCTGGTCCGAACTGTATTTCGGAATCTTCGGCAGCGCATTCTGCAGATAAAAATAAGTAAAAAAGTTCGTATAAATGTATGTCCTAAAATGCTTCGTTTCGGAGATACAGGGTGTAGGAGTTTCATTTTTATTTCGATTTTTTTCCAAATAGTTTCTGAAGTAACGTCAATATTTGGATGAAAATTGGTGCCTGGGAGTTTTTTGACATGAGAAATTTGATTTTGACGTCGATATGACTCCTATTTCTGTGACTTTTTACGTATGTCTCTGTAAAATCCCCACGATTAACCGTTCTCAAGATATTTAGAATGGAAATAGTAAATATATACATCAATATATACATGTCAAAAAATAATGTTGACAAAATAATGTTGAGTAGGTTATTTGACTGAAATGATAAAGCAAACTTTTATTTTTTAAATTAATCATAACTCAAAACGCTCAAGCGTTGTAACCAAACCTCCTAACATGTCAGAAAAGTGTATCAATGCTGAATAATCGTTATTTTTTTAGGTAAGGATAGGCTTTGGATTCTGCTACAAAGGATCCCACTATATCTTCAGGTTTCCCAAAACGAGTTTGTAAAATGTAGATTGTTTTTTCCACCAGACCATTTGTCATTAACAAACCTTACACTGCTCTTTTTGCGTCTCCAGTCAGACCAAGTAATTTGGTAGTATTATTGTACTGAGATATGAAGTGGAACCATTCCCTAATATTTCCTGTAAAAATTGCTAAATATTTATCAATTGTTTGACGAGCTAAAGTAGTTCTAATGTCAACATATTCCAAAGTTGTTTTTAAACATGTTTTTGTATTTTCCAAATCGGGTGTACTGTAGTTTTCTTGTTTTCTGTCTTGATTTTCTTTAATTTCTGTGTTCTCTACCTTTTCTACGTTCTTTGGTTGTCTTGTTTTTCTCTAGTCTGTAAGTTTCTCTTTTCTTTGTACTTCATTATCTTGATTTTCACGACTCCATCTCAACCAATTTCCCACATAATTTTCATTCGCTAGTCTGTCTTCACTTCTTCTGTTGCTGACCTCTTCCAAGAGTAGCTCGTTTATCTTGTGTTGTTGTTCCGTCCGTATTTTTGCTAGTTTCATGCGTTTTGCAATACGTTCATTTTTCTGATCTAGAAGCGATATTTGCGCGGTAAGAAGCTCATCTTCCTTACTTATTTTTTTAGCTAACTCCTCGTCCGCCTGTTTTAACGCCTCTAACCTCTTACTACTAACTGTACTAGATAAAGCAGAACGTTTAGAATGGGACTTACCCCTGGACTTGGACATCTCGCTGTCTGTTTGGCTTGTTACCCTGCTAGCTTGACTACTTGCCCTTGATGCACTGGTAGTTCCCTTCACAGTGACCTCAGCGTCCCCGACGGTTTCGGACATTCCTTGACGGTTTTCTGGTAAATTCTTGAATGTTTGGATTGTTGTTATGAGTCTTTGTGTCAGTGTCTTATTTTTTACTTTATGGTTTCTGATGTATGATTTTCTTCTTGTTTGATTATTGTGAACTTTTTTCATATTTGGGTTTCATAAAATAATTGTCCGTATTGTGTATGGTAATATTGCTGAAGCATAAAAATATTCTAGATAAATTTGTCAGCTTTAAATAAAGAAAATACACAAACCACAATCTTTATACAGGACCATTTTGAAGTCATTCGTCTAAAACATTAAAATATCAATATTTTACCTTTTTTTCTATCATTTTCCGTATCGCTTTCATACGGGCTACAAAACCGACCTTAATCTCCCAAAAGGGCTTTTATCAAGGCCATTTCCGTCCAGAGGGCGCAGTTGTCGTCTATACCGAGCATTGTGAGTGAAGGGGGAAAAGGGAGTATAACTGATAAAAATGGGGTTATGATATTAAAAAACTTTGGCGTTTTGGAGAACGAGAACGTGCCAGTTTATGTAATATTTTCGATAAATTTGTGTCTGTGTGTGTGTTGATATTTGGTCATCAATCATATTGTTTGATAGTGTCCGAGATGTGTAGATGCTTGATTTTTAATTAAATTGTGATATTAAAATATACAGAGTGTTATGTCGTCTCTAGTCTACGAGCATCTAGAGGTTTTATAACAAAATACTGAGAAATTTCGTTTAAGTGGAGACCTAAATTGTACAGGGTGGCGCCTCTCATACGACGGACGCGGAGGCTCCAAGGAGAACGATAGTTTGTATTGAAATGAAATTTTGCGGGCATATGTAGGTTAATTTAGAGCACTTTTTAAAAATATAGAGAGTTCTATAGGGTCTCCCCCCAAAAAATACACATCAAAGTTTTGTTTTTTTTGTAATGGAACATCCTATATATTAATTGATTTTCGGATTCTAGGAAAACATGAAGGTGAGTTTTATTAGAGGTTTTTACTTTGTATTTTCTTACAAAACTGAATATTGTATAGCCTATACAAATTTAATTTTTAATTTCTCTTGATTCTCATTAATAAATTATATATTACAAATAAAAAATATTTAAAAAAATACAAAATCTATAAAACAAATAAAAAACGAGTATACTATTTTACGATTTTAAAATTTCTTAAATATTTTCTTTCAATTTCTTCGGCATTTTCGTTTTATTTCGACTTTATTTATTTCTTGCCATTATCTGGAACCACGGTTCATTTGCTTTTATAGCCTCTCGTTCTGCCAAATAGGTAAACAACGAAAAAAAAACGACGACGATAGGCCATTTTCAATAAAACCCTATTGTTACTGCGACACGTTTGTTCTTGCTAGGCTCTCCTTTTTCTACCGATTTATTTTTATTTCTTGAAATGGCTCGATTTCATTTAAAAGTTGGGTAGTATTTGTGAAGATTCTCCAATTTTTTCAGCAGTTCAAATTTAAATAATTGGTATTTGAAATCGGTTTTCTTCAATGTTTTTTTTACAATACCATTGCAACCACTCAATAATATCAATTGTTTAGTAATGCCAATTACAACAACAACGGAATGTTTCGAAATATACAAAAACCCGAATTATTTAGTAGTTTTTCTCTGGCTTTACTTGATAATCATCCCAGTAGTGTGCATTCTTTTATGGGACACACTGTATTTACCATAATAATTAATGATGGAATAAATCTGAATTTACATTATGATTACTCTGATAAAATGTCATTTGTATTTCTCATTATCCTATATATCTAATAATACAATATATTTGTTTTCAAACGTCACAAAAGTATTAATTTTTGTGACGTGATTGGCAATATGAAAAAGTCATTTTAACGCCTAGGCATTAAAGTAATCAATTTTCGTTTTTTTTTTATTTTTTTTTTATTCAATCAACATTCAATCAGAGAAATGTAAAAACAAAATCACGGTGTTTTTTATAATAAGTCATTAGGTTTCTACACAGTATGGTAACAAAACTAAACCTTATGCCAAAATATCACATAAATTTTATTTTGAAATAATAGAGTTTGTTTCACAAACCACGATGACTTCTCGAAACCCAAGAATCTCTTAGAATTCGACTCTATTATAGGTATACATAAAAGATAGGCTAAACAATGTCGAACATAAACCAAACCTCGAATTTCTGCCAACATTGACAGACAAATCGAGAAGAAACTATTTATTTTTGACACTGCCCTCGGTTTTGGATAGATTATTATCACGTAACTACTGTGCGTCAAACACATCTGTCCGAAAAAAAAGGTCGCCTTTCGATTGTTTGGAATCGATATTTATCAAAACGTTTCGCCAAACAGTGCTATTGTGATTTATGTCGTTAATGGTTTGGTATACAGGGTGTAACAAATAGTCTTGCGAGTAAATTTCTACTTTATTAACTTCATGTTTCGGTAAAAACAAGAAAAAAATACGCCCTTAAAAT